ATGGTTCTGGACAAAAAATCATCTTCCATTCTATTACGCAACATTGTCTTATTTACACTCATAACTGAAAATGCACGTTTTGTAATTGCTTTTGGATAGTTGATTCGTAAATGGGTCCTTTGCTTTTAGATTGGATTTGAGCTATTTATTTATTTAAGTAACTACTGGATCTTTTGTTTAGGTTTAAGATTTTTGTATGATTGAATTTTAAAGTGTAAGTTATTGGATCAATATTTATTAATGGAAAAAAATTCAAAATTTTGTGGGGACGAAACTGAAAAATACATTACAAATTAACTAGAAATAGTCTATCTTCATCTCTGGGCAGGATTGGTGTTGGTGTGCACATTTTAGGAGGGCTGTTTTATACTTAAGATAGGAGATCAAAAAACTTGCGTTGTCAACTTTGCTAGTAGTCTTTAAGTTTTATTGACAGTTTATAATGAATCTTTGACTGACAAAATGCCCGGAGTTTTTCCCACGTTAGGTTTCTCCGTGAACAATTTTGGTATTGTTTATTGCTTTATTTACTGCTTTGACATTACTGCAGTATTTGTAGATAGGACAAATTGAATTATTTGACTAATCACGTGGATATAATTAACTTGTGACTTGTAACTTGTTGCATGTTAATTAAATATTAATTTCGCAATTACACCTAATCACCCCTCTAAGTGGAGTTGGTGGGAAATCGCGTTTTTCAGAAAGAATTATTGCAGCGTGGAAATTTGGTAAGTTTATAATTCTGATGTCCGAGTGATGTATTGAAACAAGAATTTGGTAACTTTATCCATTCTGACTAGGAAATTAAATATTACAACTCCTTCCATATATATATATATTTCAACCAATGCAAAACTAACTACATCATTCTCAATCTTAATTTCTTGAGTTTCTTTTCAATTTTATTTTGCTTTAAACAATGGAGGAAAAGAAAACAAGAATGAGGGAATTGACTGAGGATGATATGGTGGGCGTTAAGTCGAACGGTAATCGGTTCATGATCGATTTTCTGAAGAATGTTACAAAACGAGCTGCAGAAATATTTGATAACGAAGTATTATTGTCCGGTGAATGTTACACCAAGAAGGAAAATAGAGATGAAAAACCCAGTTCTTCTAAGAGTATAATGTTTTCACACAAGGAAAAGGGAGAAAAGGATGAGAAGGAGAAGAAAATCCGTCCTTGTAAGTGTAAATATGGGTTTTCATTCGAGGAAGAACTACCGTGGGATGAATTTCAGTTCAAGAAACCTATGAATAGTAAAGAAGAGAGATGGAGGAAGAATAAGAAATTGAAAAGCATTGCACCAGAGGAAATTGTTTATAGTTTGGAAGAAGATTTCGCTAGAAGGAATAATCTCAAAAACAGTACAGTTAACATCCCAGAAACTTCTGGGGTGAAAAAGAGAAAAAATAATACGTCCAAGACTCGTAGCAATGGAGAAGAAGAAGTTCGGATTGTGAAGAAAGGAACTATGATCGGACCTGATCCTCCCCCTCCACTACCTGAAGAATTCAAGAATGCAATTCAAGAACTGGCCAATGGAAGAAATATATCACAGGAGATATTGGTGGTACAGAAGGGACTCTATAAATCTGATACAGAACCGCAACAAAGCCGGCTTTCTATTCCTCTAAATTCAGTTATAGGAGAGTTTCTCAAGGATGAAGAGAAAGCTCATCTTTTGAAACGTCTCAATGGCAAGCTGGAGCACATATCTGTACCAATTATTGATCCCTTGCTAATAAGGGACACGGTAGATTTGAGGAGATGGTCGATGAAGAAAAGCAATGGGAAGGAGAGCGTATCCTACATGCTCACTGGAAGTTGGATAGAAATGCGGAAGAGGAATGACTTGAAAGTTGGGAACGTGGTGCAACTGTGGTCTGTCCGAATCGAAGAAGAACTGGTGTTCTGTCTGGTGAGGTTACCTTGAAATGAGAAGCAGCTAATCTAGTTTTGTTTCGTGTCCTCTGTTTTAAACGTTCTTGCAGAAATTTGTTAATATGATTAATTGATTTCTACAATTTATCAGAACTATGAATTTTGTGGTGTTACTTTCTACTAATTTTACAAGTTTTAGGTATGTGTATGGCTCTTGAGAGAATTTCTGCTTTTGATTCTACTTTTTGTAGAATAGTTTCCTGAGAAAGTTGCATTGCTTTCTCTAGAAGGTCTTCTAGTCAAACAAATGTCATTTAAAAAATTATTCAAACATATTCAAAAGTAACTACACTACTTAATTTCAAAACTGTCTTTGGACTTTTCAAAAGTTCAGCCAAACAGGCCAGTATTCTATTTTTTTCTTTAACTTTTGATCAAAAATTATAAAAAAATATGATAAAAAATAATCTAAAGATCAACTCAGGACGAGCATTTTCTTTGTCATTCAAATAGAACAAGTCGGGTCGGTCTAATTTTTAGAACACTGCTTAATTTAATACACAATTTAGAAATTACACTTCAAAATAATTTTTGTATTTCAATTTGTGCTCTTGTTCTTTTATCACAAGTTTGAGCAACTTTTCAAAATATATTCTACTAATAGAGTAAACATTGGCATTATTTGAATCAAAACATTGGAGATAATGATTTGGGGTATTGTTGATTTGTCACATCAAGATTGAAAATTTATGTGAAAAAGTTGTGGGATATGGTCAAAAAGAAGATTGGAAATTATGCTTTGCAACAAGAATCAAGATTTGATGTCCTTCACGTTGGTCGATAGTCAAAGTGTTAGTTAAATTGAATCTTAAAAAGATGTTTAATTTTGGACTCAAGGTCCAAGTTAAAAAAAAATGATAAAAATTTAAGTCAATATTTAAAATTAATTTTAACTGCACTTTTACGGGATCCACAATTATCAATTTTTCAATCACACATTTCATAATTTTTTATCAAAATCTACAAAATATATAATTTTTAGCTAAATCAAACGAGAGAGCTGAATATTCAAAATTGGTCAAATTCAACCAACTTTTCGAAGATATCATTGTATATTAAATTGCGAGTCATATGCAATTTTCATGTTTGTGACTCAACAAGCGATCTCTAGGCATCTATCTAGTTATTGAATTTTGAGCCCTTTGTAATATTTTGATTCCCCATTTGCATATAGGTATCTCATTGAAGGAACACACTTCCTCTAATTGCTCAAACATATTTACTCAAAGTTTTGGATTTATCTAGTAAAATCAAACATGTTTAAACTATGATTTTAGCGTACATAAAATAACATATTTCAAATAAGTAAAAAAAATAAATATATTATTTTGAAATTTCACTATAACACTTAGGGCTTGTTTGGCACCCATTCTTTTGAAGAATGAGTTTTTGAATAGTGATTGATGTAAAGAATGTGTGGTTAAAAAGTAAGAAGAATTTTTGGGTTTATGTGTAATATTATTTTATTTGGAGAATGTGTGGTTAGAAATGAGTACTGTAGAAAAATGAGAATGAGA